TGTTGTTGGCCTATTCAGGTTTTCTATATCTTTTTGGTTTAATTTTGGAAGCTTGTGTGAGTCCAGGAATTTATCCATTTCCTCCAGGTTTTCGAACTTGTTGGTGTATAGCTGTTTATAGTAGTCTCGGATGATTCCTTGTATTTCATTTGGGTCAGTTGTAATATCACCTTTTTCATTTCTAATTTTTGTTATTTGAATCTTCTCTCTTCTTTTTTTTGTTAGCCATGCAAGTGGTTTGTCGATTTTGTTTATCTTTTCAAAAAACCAACTTTTTGATTTGTTGATCTTTTGTATTGTTTTTTGGGTTTCAATTTCGTTAAGTTCTGCTCTGATCTTGATGATTTCTTTCCTTCTGCTAACTTTAGGTTTGGATTGTTCTTGTTTTTCTAGTTCTTTAAGGCGCTTTATTAGATTGTTCACTTGCCAGCTTTCCATTTTTCTGAGGTAGGCATTTAATGCAATAAATTTCCCCCTTAGTACTGCCTTTGCTGTATCCCACAAGTTTTGGTATGATGTATCATTATTTTCATTAGTTTCAATAAATTTTTTTATTTCCTGCTTGATTTCTTCTTGGACCCATGTATCGTTAAGTAGAATGTTGTTTAATTTCCATGTGTTTGTATACTTTCCAGGGTTTTTGAATGAAAAATTTTTAAAAAGGCTATTTTGAAAATCATTCTGAGTTTCTGAGTGAGAGTAAATATATTGTGCAAAGATTCTGACTTTGCCCCAAAGCATCTTTTCTTCCAGCTCAATATTTGTATGATATCTGCATATAAAGTATGTTAATTAAAACCTTTGAAGTTTATGGTAATGAAGATTGGGTAACTATTTGGAGCTACTTCTTTTCCAAAAGAAATCAGGGTGTTCTGGGATTATCAAGTGGAACTTGGATTTGGGGAATGAATAGGCTGTGAGATTGGAAATGTAGATTCTGTCTAGACTAGAAATACCTAGAGTAAAACTTAGGCAAATGCAGACTACCGCCATCGCCCTCCATGTCTGATCAAACCTAATGAGCACCAAAGGAGCTGACTTTCCTTCTCAGAAGAGGCAATGGGATGGGATATAAGCAGCACAGACTTCAGACTCACCGACTTAGATTTAAATCCTATGAGGAATAAATTGCTTTTTCTCTCTTAGTCTACTTCTTCATAAATAGGAATAGTAATCATCTCACAGTATATTGGTGAGGATTAAATAAGATGTAAAATAACTGGTACCACATATGCATAATCAATGAATGAATACTACATCATAGTCCCTTGAGTATCACTTCTTCCTATCCACCAGATCTGCTTTCCATCTAAAAATCATGTGTCCATTAGTAGTATATCTAGGGATCTTGAGAGAGGCTGTATTTGTGGTGATAGCAATGAGAAATGATAATCACATTGGTATAATAATAACTACCAGAGAACTATTCAAAAATATTTTCAGAAGTTTTACATGTAAGGTATGGTGTTATAACACTGGGGCTAGAAAATAATTTGTCCTTACCAGACAGTTTTAAGTATGTAGATAGTCTAAATCAAGAGTCTGAAGTCAATCTATATAGCAAAATACGACTGTTATTAATTGTAACTAACATCTCTTTTCCATTATACCAGTGAGAAGAAACTTATTACAGATGCCCTTAATAAAAATCAGTTTCTGAAGAGACTGGATCCTCAGCAGATCAAAGACATGGTGGAATGCATGTATGGGAGAAACTACCAGCAAGGGAGTTACATTATTAAGCAAGGAGAACCAGGAAACCATATCTTTGTGCTGGCAGGTGGGTTTCATAGATTTTTCCAGTTATAACAAATATTTTGCCTATTGTCTTATGAAACATTTATAAAAACACAAAACCGGCTGCTCTATTTGTAGAAAGTGTAACAGATTGAGCTTATGAAATAGCAACATTGTTGATCCAATCATAATGATGATAATACTTAATATTTACTAAATGATTTGTATGTATCAGGCATCCTATTGAGTACTTAGTAGAGAGATCTCATTTCATCTTTTCACCAACCCAGTAAGGCAAGCACTGCTATCTCCATGTTACTAATGTGGACAATGTCCCAGAGAGATTAAGTAATTTATCTAAGGCCACACAGCTCATAGGTGGTGGAGGTAAAATGCAAACTTAGGCAATCTGATTTAAGAATCCATACTTTTAACCACAATGCCACTCACTTGAAAAAATCTTTCCATTCAAAATAATGTTGCTCATGTTGACATTTCTAGATAATTGTACCAGGAATAAAAAACAATTATTTTGCATTTCTAGAAAATATTTGGTTATATACAAATGATTTCAAAAAATAATTTAGGTGCATTTAACCAAGAGACGAATCAAATGGAATGTCTTACAATTAAAACTGGTGTTTTTAGAGTCATTTAAATTGTTTCCTTCCTCTGTGCTCACTTGAACATGCTTACATGTTAGGAAGTTTATAATGGTTAGAAAGGCAAAGGATTTATTTCTCAAATCTTATAATGGCTATTCCCCCTAATTTTTTTTTTAGATATACAAGAAAGGAATTATCTGAACAGGGATTAAGGTTATGAACACATTGTCAGATTCTGAATTATCCCAGCTTTCTGAGTTTTAGGGATAAAAGTTAAACTGGCTTACCCAGATGCAGTGGTAACCTGTGATAGGCTGTGGCCTTCTGTTTGGCATTGTAGTTCCTGGTCATCTAAGCAATGTTTTTGTTCTTGATTCTTTGGTTCCTTAGGTGTGAGGCAGAAATCGCCTATCTAAACAAATTAATAAACATATATTATTCTTTTTATAGTGTATAAAAGATTGTTTTCATATATTTCGATTCTTTTAAGCATGCCAGTTTTATAATTATTTGTGTATTATTTGCCATATACATCTTTGTAGGCACTTTAAAAATTATACAGTCCTTCCCAAGTAATTATTCTTCTCAAGAAGTAAATTGAAGTCTTGATTTAGCCAGCCTTCAATTTTTAGGGACAGGTGATCCAGAGCAATTTTTCCCTCTTGGAACTTTTAGCCATTTCACTTCTACTTAAGCAACACTAGAACATTTTGGCAAGAAAAGGTAGGTCATAAAGTCGACTAATATTTATGGAACCTGCTAGAAGAGGATAAGAAACTCATGTCAGCCCATCTTGTTCCTTCTCAGTAGTTCTGATGAAAGGCTTGGGGAGAAAAGAGGTTGAACAAAAAGCAGCATCAATACAGCTATGGAGATTAGGGCTGTGGCATACATGGAAATGACAATTGCGTGGTTTCTTATTTGAATTAATTATGGTGTCATCTAAGGACTGAATTGCCTGGTTTAATTATCTGGTTGAGCAAATTAATTTGATAATTAAAAATCTCCGCTTATAAAATATAGCATCAATAGAAAAATAGGAAAAGCACATTTAACTTAAAATTTTGATATTCCATGTAGTCCTTCAGCATTACTCAAGTCCCATGAGCCATAACTGATTACAAAAAAACCTTGATATACATTAAGATTCATGATGCCAAGTGGACAGTACCACTAAGTGGCTTTGATAGAATAGAATTTAGCTGTAATGAGAAATTTTTAAATTGCATATCTAATCAATAGGATTTGGAGCCAAAACAGCATTGTATTTTTCTTACTAGAATATAAATTCTATCAGAATAAATATCTTTCTCTTTTGTTTTCTCTATTGCTCTGACATCTGGGATAGTTCCTGGCACAACATAGGTGCTCAGATCAGATCTGTCAAATGAAGGGATGGACAGAGATGACCTCGAGCTACTTAGTGGTGAATTAGGAAAAGGAAAAACTAATTCTTCAAGGAAAAGAGACATTACCCCACCATTTTTCTTCCTCTGAAAATCTAATTTAGATTTTTTTTGCTTGTGATTTCAGTTAGATAAGGTTTTGTTTGCACTTGTTTGGAGGGAAAGCAGAAGAGAGTTGCCAGGCAAAAGAATAGTGAAAAAGAAAAGTGCTTGAAGTTCTGCTTCTTCCTTCCTCCAGTCTTTGCCTCGGTAGAGATAAGTGCTATCTTCTGAATAATTTCCATTGATAATTAATATGTATTACATTTAAGTGAAGGAGAGGTTAGATAACAACTGAGGTACCATGAAGTAACTTGCTCAGGGTCACACAGCCAATATCGAGGAGTGCCAGAATCAGAGCCAGGCAGTCTGCCTCCAGGGCCAGTGATCTTATCAGTTATGGCAAGTTGTTCTTCTGTCATTGTAAGCAACTGTACTGTGTTTTCAAGACACACAGTGATTATTGGGATCCTAGCAAAACAGAAATGGTTTCATGTACTACATTTTTCACAGGGAAGAATGAATTTTAAACAAAATGCTTGCCATCCACTGCTTCAGGAAAAGAGCTTAGTAACGATGATAATGATATTAACAATAGCTAGTAGTTATATAGATTTGACTACGTGCTAGCCATTGTTCATAGTTCCCTCCTTATATTAACTTATTTATTTATTTATTTTAATTTATTTTTTTATTTTAACTTAGTATACGGTATAGTTGATTTTCATGTCCCTTTACCAGTTCCTATTTCCCCCCACCCTCTACCCACCATCAGCATCATGTCTGTTTACTTGTCTTAACAAGTTCAAGGAATTGCTGTGGTTGCTGGATCTTCTTCCCAACCCGCACTGTTTATTTGTTTGTATATTTATTTATTTATTTATTTTTAGCTCCCACAAATAAGTGAGAACATGTGGTATTTCTCTTTCTGTGCCTGACTTATTTCACTTAATATAATATCCTTTAAGTCCATCCATGTTGCTGTGAATGGTACTATTTCATTCTTTTTTATAGCAGAGTAGTATTCCATTGTGTAGATGTACCACATTTTCCTTGTCCACTCATCCGATGATGGGCATTTAGGCTGGTTCCAACTCTTGACCCCAAAAGCACAGGCAACCAAAGGAAAAATAAACAAATGGGATTATATCAAACTAAAAAGCTTCTGCACAGCAAAAGAAACAATTAACAGAGTGAAAAGACAACCAACAGAGTGGCAGAAAATATTTGCAAAATATACATCTGACAAAGGATTAATATCCAGAATATACAAGAAACTCAAACAACTTTACAGCAAAAAACCAAGTAACCCAATTTAAAAATGGGCAAAGGAGCTGAATAGGCATTTCTAAAAGGAAGATATACAAATGGCCAACAGACACATGAGAAAATGTTCAACATCACTTAGCATTTGGGAAATGCAAATCAAAACCACTTTGATATAACATCTCACTCCAGTTAGGATGACTAACATCCAAAAGACTGAGAATGATAAATGCTGGTGAGGTTGCAGAGAAAAAGGAATCCTCATACACTGTTGGTGGGACTGCAAAATGATGCAGTCTTTATGGAAAATGGTATGGAGTTTCTTCAAACGATTACAGATAGATCTACTATATGACCCAGCTATTCCAGAGGAATGGAAATCATGATGTCGAAGGGATACCTGTACTCCCATGTTTATTGCAGTGCTTATTAACTTATTTAATTCTCACAATAACTATATGAAATAATAATAATTTTAATATAATATAATAATTATAATTATTATTATCCTCATTATCAATGAGGAACTTTAGGCAGGTTGGGTAGCTTTCTCAAGGCAATCCAGCTAATAGTAAGTAACAGAGCTAGTTTTTAAGCACTATGTTATGATGAGAATCATAAGATATCTGATCTGTATGGTTTGTGTACTTTCTGATTTTTTTTAAAAATTTATGAAATCCAGGCGGATTTTGATTATTTTGTGTTTTTCTTAAATTCCACTTGATAGAGGGCCGTCTAGAAGTGTTCCAAGGGGAGAAGTTGCTATCATCCATCCCTATGTGGACCACATTTGGGGAACTAGCCATTTTATACAACTGTACAAGGACTGCCTCTGTGAAAGGTAACAGGAGATGAAATGCTCAGTCTTGAATTGTTACACAGTGTTAAAGATCATCTAGATGAGTCATGATTGCATCTTGATCCAGAGTTTGTCTCTCATTTTGCCCCATATGCCCTTATTAATAGACATGCTGTACCTATGAAAGGATTTATATTGAAGTGGTTGTCTAAATAATTCAAGTTGAGAACTTTTTCATCAGATACTTTTATGTAAAATGTAAAAATAGCTTTAAGCTGAATGATTGCAATATTTGCTGCAATTGCCATTTCATGTTTTACTACATAGGCCTCTGCCTTTGGCTCGTCCAGAATGTTTGTTTTCTAGTTTCCATGAGTTTCTGCCTATATTATAAACTAAAAAATTAAATAAACCAAAGGAAATATACACATATCAAAAAGGATATGAATTAGACCGATGAGAGTTTTACAAATGATTTTTGGGAGTAGTTTAGTTGCTTCTTCTAAAGATTCCTTTTTTTATTGATTTTAGTCATAGTAATCCTGAATTTTCTTCTGAATCATCTAAATGTGGTATTTCTCAATGTTTGGGACTGAGATATGTGTATTAGCCTTACTGTGGAATTTAATCTTGATAAAATGCAGATTCTGGGGCTCTGCTTCAAACCCAAATCAAAATCTCTAGCGATGGGGCACAGAGATATGTACTTTTAAAGAGAATATTGAGATGATTCTTATCTACTCTAAAGTTAGATAAACCAGACCTTTAGGATTTGATCTATTTTGTTGGTTCTCATTATTCATTTAAAAAAAAAATGTTACAACCACAGTTTCATCTAGAATTTTTTAGAGCTGCTACTTCTGCTGCACTTTGTAGATTTTTTGCTTGCTTTTGATGTCTTTCCTATAAAAAACAGTGTTTTAAAAACTTTGTTTCATAATCTCATAAACATTATTTGCATACGTATTTTACAAAAGTAACCACAGAGATCCTTAAATTGTGTTAGCTCCCTTTAGCAACAATGTCTAAATAACATAAAAAGACATATAAAAACACACTCATACCCACAGCAATCTTTAATTTTCAATTATCTGTTTGTGAATTCTTCACTTTCCAGATTAGCTACAGGTTGGCTGGCTTTCTCCTTATCACAGCATGAATCTGAAGTACATCTTGACAATGTAGTGCATACTTGGGAACTGCAAACTAATTTGAACATCATCCTAATGGAAACATAATTAGAAAAATATCTTTTGATACCCAGTCCCACTTCCAAATCACGGTGTAGCTCAAAGCCAAAATGATTTATAAAATTACTCAGTATTTATTTTTCTGCTTCTTTCCATTTGCATATTTAAATAATGCATTTTCCAAGAAATATTAGTGTTGCTCCCGCGCCTCGCTCAGCCAGTGAGCGGGAACCGGTCTGTATGTGGGATCCGAACCCTCAGGCGGGAGCGCCACCGCGCTTCCCAAGCGGTGCACTATCCAGTGCGCCACCGGGCCGGCCCCAGAGATATGTACTTTTAAAGAGAATATTGAGATGATTCTTATCTACTCTAAAGTTAGATAAACCAGACCTTTAGGATTTGATCTATTTTGTTGGTTCTCATTATTCATTTAAAAAAAAAATGTTACAACCACAGTTTCATCTAGAATTTTTTAGAGCTGCTACTTCTGCTGCACTTTGTAGATTTTTTGCTTGCTTTTGATGTCTTTCCTATAAAAAACAGTGTTTTAAAAACTTTGTTTCATAATCTCATAAACATTATTTGCATACATATTTTACAAAAGTAACCACAGAGATCCTTAAATTGTGTTAGCTCCCTTTAGCAACAATGTCTAAATAACATAAAAAGACATATAAAAACACACTCATACCCACAGCAATCTTTAATTTTCAATTATCTGTTTGTGAATTCTTCACTTTCCAGATTAGCTACAGGTTGGCTGGCTTTCTCCTTATCACAGCATGAATCTGAAGTACATCTTGACAATGTAGTGCATACTTGGGAACTGCAAACTAATTTGAACATCATCCTAATGGAAACATAATTAGAAAAATATCTTTTGATACCCAGTCCCACTTCCAAATCACGGTGTAGCTCAAAGCCAAAATGATTTATAAAATTACTCAGTATTTATTTTTCTGCTTCTTTCCATTTGCATATTTAAATAATGCATTTTCCAAGAAATATTATTCTGTGAGAACATATAGTAAATTCATTGATTTACATTTTGGAATGTTTTTAATGTGGTGTGAAAATGTTTTATTGTTTTCTTGATTTTTCTAAAGCTATTACCAATGTTAAAACTTGGGCATTAGATAGAGAGGTATTCCAGAATATAATGAGGAGGACAGCCCAAGCTAGAGATGAAGAGTACAGAAACTTCCTCAGAAGGTAAGAATAACATACTGGGGGAAAGTGCAGATGATGGGGTAGCCAGATTGTGGATATATTCGTTTTCCAGAATGATTGTGTTGTAAGAGCTTTTCTCATTTAAGCATTTTTCACATGATTAAACCAAAGGAACAAAAATATTTCCTTTCAGTAAATGCCACTATACAAGTATATCAAAAATTATGTTTAATTCCTATTAGCCTTGTGCACTGATTTATTTCTCCTGCTATTTTTTTTTTGCCCTTGTATTGATGGATATAATATAGAAAACTGCACAAAAAATTCTAAAATATTCACCTGGGTTACTCGGTTGGCTTTGAAAGACATTTGCAATTTGAAAGTAGATAGCAAATGATAACCTTTCTAATAATGCTTTGCTTAGAATAATACTAAAATTATTTATTTTGCTATTCTTACTTTCAGAGACATTCATTTTTTACTTGCATAATCACATCACCTTTCAAATTACTATTATTTGTAGCAAATTAACTTGCCAAAAATGTTACTGTACTTGTCATGCTGATATGGATGCTTGGAACATACTCATTTTGTGAACTGTTCAGTACCTTAACAACTTGGATGCATCAGGTTATAGACAAACAAATGTCTATGTAACTGAAAAAGCAGTCACACATTAAACATTTTTTTTTTCCTTTTTTTTTGTCTTTTTTCGTGTCCGGCAACGGATCGCAACCCTTGGTATTGCTCCCGCACCTTGCTCAGCCAGTGAGCGGGAACCGGTCTGTATGTGGGATCCGAACCCTCAGCGGGAGCGCCGCCGCACTCCCAAGCGGCGCACTGTAGCAGTGCGCCACCGGGCCGGCATAAACATTTTTTTTGAGAGTATAAGTTCCTTATTGAAACTATTTCTGTATCTTTTGTGGGAGTTTTGACAGTCTCTGAAGCTGCAATACCTACTGTACTGAAATGTTACCTATGATAAGTGGCAATAATAATAATTTATCATGTGATTTCTAAAAATAAACTTTTAAGTATAATGATTTTATCTTGCATGACAAACTGCCAAGCCAAGGGTTGTAGGGCTTTAAAGTGCCTTGAATATAGTAAGGGCTCAGTAAACATTGAATGAACATGTTGTTAGTCTGTAGAACATTGCAGATGTTAAGGTTTCTTATACAGAATCTTACTAATTTGCCCTTCCAGAGATGATAATGACTCCTGGCAGAAAGCTGCAATAATTACAAACAGGTACCTTACCTATATGCCAGCTAATGCCTTAGCCATCATATTGTGTGGTCTACCTGAATATAGGTGCTTTGGGCCAAATGTGTCCCTCGAAAGTTCATGTATTGGAAACTTGATCCCCATTGAAAGGTGGGGCCCTTGAGAGGTGACTGGATTGTAAAGACTGTGCCCTCATGTATGAATTAATCCATTTATGGGTTAATGGGTTGATGTTTTAATGGGTTGCCATGGGTCCACACCCCTTATTAAGGAGAACAAGTGAGAAGGTTACCTCTTGAGTTCTTGCCATCCTCATCATGTGATACCCTCATTACCATGGAAACCCGTAGAGAGTTCCCACCCAGAAGAATGCTCTCACCAGTTGTGCCCCCTGGACCATGGACCTCCCAGCCTCCTAAACTGTAAGAAATAATTTTCATTTGTTTATAAATTATCCAGTTTCAGGTATTCTCTCATAAGCAACAGAAATGGACTAATATAATACATGATCTCAAAATCCAACAACTGAGCAACCAGGTCAGCATTTAAAGCTAATAAGCCACACTTATGCAAGGGCCAAAAAGGGATACATAAATAAATCAGTGCCCATGGGTTATGTCTGAATGTCTGAGATAAAACCTGAATCTCTACACAGCAGTTTATTCTCTTGGAGTCTAGTATATTCTGTCTTAGTGCAAGGAGCTCGGATAATCTACTAGTACATATTCCTTCCTTCCTTCCTTCCTTCCTTCCTTCCTTCCTTCCTTCCTTCCTTCCTTCCTTCCTTCCTTCCTTCCTTCCTTCCTTCCTTCCTTCCTTCCTTCCTTCCTTCCTTCCTTCCTTCCTTCCTTCCTTCCTTCCTTCCTTCCTTCCTTCCTTCCTTCCTTCCTTCCTTCCTTCCTTCCTTCCTTCCTTCCTTCCTTCCTTCCTTCCTTCCTTCCTTCCTTCCTTCCTTCCTTCCTTCCTTCCTTCCTTCCTTCCTTCCTTCCTTCCTTCCTTCCTTCCTTCCTTCCTTCCTTCCTTCCTTCCTTCCTTCCTTCCTTCCTTCCTTCCTTCCTTCCTTCCTTCCTTCCTTCCTTCCTTCCTTCCTTCCTTCCTTCCTTCCTTCCTTCCTTCCTTCCTTCCTTCCTTCCTTCCTTCCTTCCTTCCTTCCTTCCTTCCTTCCTTCCTTCCTTCCTTCCTTCCTTCCTTCCTTCCTTCCTTCCTTCCTTCCTTCCTTCCTTCCTTCCTTCCTTCCTTCCTTCCTTCCTTCCTTCCTTCCTTCCTTCCTTCCTTCCTTCCTTCCTTCCTTCCTTCCTTCCTTCCTTCCTTCCTTCCTTCCTTCCTTCCTTCCTTCCTTCCTTCCTTCCTTCCTTCCTTCCTTCCTTCCTTCCTTCCTTCCTTCCTTCCTTCCTTCCTTCCTCCCTCCCTCCCTCCCTCCCTCACTCCCTCACTCCCTCATTTTTTTCCTTGCATTCATTCCAAAATACTTATTACTAGACATTAAACATTGTGGATACAGTGGTGAGTCTGATCCCTCCTTTCTTAGAAGGGAGACAGACAAAACACTTTTCCCCATATCTCTTTTCCCACCAATGTCCAAAGGTGATAGGTTTAAAGGATAAAATTTTCACTTACGTTATGGATCCCAATTTGGACCAGAAGTAACGCTTTCATGATGGGTATGTGTTAATCAATGACAAATTCTGATAACCTTTTATTATTTTGTCAATAGGGAGATGTATTAGGGAAATACATTTCTCTTGTTTCAGAATATACAGTGAGCTCTTTTTTTCCATTTACATTTTTTACTATGAAGTATGTGATATATTGTATAAGATATGTAGTACTTACATAAGTTATAAAACAGAGTAACAAAATGAACATCCGGGGAACTATTGCCCAACCTAAGGAATAGCAAGTTAGCAATGTTGTTGAAGTTCTCATGGGCCCCGCCAGGTTATTTCCAGCCTCCCTCTCTCCTTCACCTTGGGAGTAGTCTGCATTCTGAAGTTTAGTCATCATCCCCTTGGTATTCTTTATAGTTTTGCCTATAGCTTCATTTAGCCTATTTTGAACTTTATGAAAAATAATGTTATTTTTGCAACTCAATTTTTTCTCAATATTTTTTTCTAAGATTCATCATGTTGGTTAGTTGAGTCATTTCTCCTATTGTAGAGTTTCATTGCCTGAATCTGCCACAGTGTGTTTATTTGTTTTCTCACTGGGTCATGTTCCAGTGTTGTGCAAGTACAAATGACTCTGATGCAGACATTCTTCTACACATCTCCTGGCCACGTGCCTCCCAGTGCATGTGTGCAAGAGTCAGCCTGGAGCTCTGTGCCTTTTCAGAAATGAGATCCAATAGCATATTTTTGGAGTAGTGTTGGTTTTTCCTTAGGCGTGTCAAATTTTAGATGGTAAGGAAAAAGTATTTATTTCATAGAAATCAATAGTCCTGAATAAAAATAAGTAAAGTAGAAGAGAAATTTCTTTAAGAGAACAATTTAATCATTTTGATTGTTTAGTCATACTGAATGAAATTTCTGATTTTTTAAAATAGTTTCCAGTATTCTGTTTCATTCTTTCTAGATTACTATTATCTGTAAAAATGTTCCTATTACATGACTCTGGCTATAATTAACTTTAAATGATAATACACTATGACTAATGAACAAAGATCCTAATTCCCACATTCCTCTGGGATTCAGTCTTTACTCAATTATGAGGATTTAGCCAAAAATCTGATCCTCCACTGGAAGCAGAGCTCCTCACCCAAGCCAATAGAAGAGAGACTGAGACGTGGAGAGGAACACATTTCTGGATATTATTCACTTTGAAAGTCAACCAGAAATGCAAATTTTTTTCCCCTGATAGACACAATGTGATTTTTTTCCCTTTATGGTATCATACTATTTTCATTTATTTGCCTATGATAAACATCTGTGTTTATACATATCTGGGATTTCCAATGTGTATGAAATTCAATTATTTATCTGTTCAGTTGTTTGGAGGTGTACTATGGAAAAATTAAAATGCATTATATTTTTTAAAAATGTATGTAAAGATTTTAGAATCTACATATATGTATGTATTTGTAGCTAATTCAAGAAGATAATTAAATAGAAGTTTCTTTTTAATTTTGAAGTGTATCCTTGCTGAAGAATTTACCTGAAGATAAATTAACCAAGATCATTGACTGCTTGGAAGTGGTAAGAAATTTTGAAGTAAAATATAGATTTCATTAGAAGATTTTAGAATTTAGTCATGTTATTGGCACTGTAAACAAATAAAAAGGAAAAGATGGTAGATCCCTAGTCTGCAGAGACGGGAGCTTTTTTCTATTGTGAAAAACTTTAGGCCAATTCATCCTGAATTAAGGGGCTGGGAAGGGTTTAGACTCTTGAAATGTATAAAAGGAAATTGGATTTGCATTTGTAAAGTGAAATTTGATTTACATATTTTAATCTTTTTAGTATATTTTATAAAAGGAATCTGCCTTACTCAAGAAGCATTTGATTTTCAATAGTTAACATCACAATCCCTTACACAGTTTTCATAGTATAAAGGAGTCAGTGATGCATAATTAAGAAATAGAGCAGAGAAAGGGTATGTTGGTGCTTTTGGTGACAAGCCTCTGAATCAGACTATGAAACACTCTATATTAACATTCTAGACCACGAAAATACATTTTTCAAAACTGTGCTTAAGGAGTGCTTTACCTATTTTAACATCTAGGGCAAAACAACATATTGGAATGTGTTCAAAAACCCATTTTAGGCATCACCCAGATGGTTGGTTGTAGTCCAAGACTAGTCTTTTTGTGAATAATGCTTTTATGACATATACCTTGGATTCTAATGATATGCATTTTATGAAAACCTCTTCAGATTTCAGAGATTAAAATTCAAAGCAAATAACCTAACTTTGGGGCGAGGGGTCAATTTCATTGAGACCTAATGGCTTTTATGGAATTTAAAGGAGGTGGGGAATAGTAAAGGACTCAGAAAATGTTAATGTGACTTGTGTGCCTGGCAGTTGTGCAGTTCGGAAAGCAGGAACGAAAGGGAAAGGCGTTTGCCACACACTGTGGTCAATCCAGGAAGTGTGGGCTTTGACTCTGTTGTCCTGAACTACAAACATTGTGACTGACTAATCGTAAAGTCACCTAATCTTTGTTACAGAGCTGCAGTATTTGACCTAATAACCTTCTGTTCTGCACTGTGACCTGCCATCTTTCACAAAACTAGACGTGTGGTGGGGGTGGGGGTGGGGCAGAGAAGTGTGGAATGTCCTTGTCAGTTTTCAGATCACCTGTGGTGCCAGTTAAAAGGCACATTTCCATGTACCACCCCACACTTACAAAATTGCTTGGGTAGGGGCCCATTAATGATAATGAAAATGTTAATGTGACTTGTGTGCCTGGCAGTTGTGCAGTTCGGAAAGCAGGAACGAAAGGCGTTTGCCACACACTGTGGTCAATCCAGGAAGTGTGGGCTTTGACTCTGTTGTCCTGAACTACAAACGTTGTGACTGACTAATCGTAAAGTCACCTAATCTTTGTTACAGAGCTGCAGTATTTGACCTAATAACCTTCTGTTCTGCACTGTGACCTGCCATCTTTCAGAAAACTAGACGTGTGGTGGGGGTGGGGGTGGGGCAGAGAAGTGTGGAATGTCCTTGTCAGTTTTCAGATCACCTGTGCTGCCAGTTAAAAGGCACATTTCCATGTACCACCCCACACTTACAAAATTGCTTGGGTAGGGGCCCACAAATCCACATTTTAACATTTTACCTATGGAATTCTCATGCTCATTAGATTTTGAGAGGCATTGGTTTAGTTATGAATGGAATACATACTTTCAGAGTTTGCGACACTCTGCCTCTCCATTCAGGAATTTTCCATTTTAAATCATTTTTTAAAAGTCTAGTCTTTCTTTCTTGTAGTTCCTACTAATACATAAGCCAGAGGTTTTTTCTCATTTTAACGATTACATTCAGAGAACCATAAGAAAGTCGAGATAATAGTGGATTTTGCCACAGTTTATAGACCAGAGAGTTAAAGGTGGGGTGACCAGATAGAAAGTTCATTAGTCCAAAGTCTGGAGATTAGGGTTTGTGGTCCTGCCTCTATCACTACCAACTATCAATTAATTGTGGTGGACATTTGTGTCTCCTCATTTACAAAATAAGGGGGTAGTGGGCCACCTCTCCATGAGCTCTTTCAATGTTAATATTACAGAATTCTATATAGATGGCCCACCCAAATAGGAATAATTTCTATTAGTTTTCATTTTGTAGGATCTGGATCCTTGGAAATAACCAATCAGGTACTAAATTATGACTGAATGGTTGATAGAGTCCACCTGATCCAAGTCTGTTTGCTTTAAAATTTCTAAGGAATATTAACTATTGTACTTGGAAAATAACTGGCAACAACCCTAATGACTGTAAACAGTCTTTAAGCAACAAACTTGGGTACATAGTCACATGATGCACAGAGGTGTGTGTGTCTGTCTGTCTGTCTGTCTGGGTGTGTGAGTGTCACACATCTGTAAACAGTCTTTAAGCAACAAACTTGGGTACATAGTCACATGATGCACAGAGGTGTGTGTGTGTGTCTGTCTGTCTGTCTGGGTGTGTGAGTGTCACACATCTGGTTGCATATCATCAATATTTCTTTGTAATGAAGATTTCTAGTTGAAAACCAAAGAGTCTGAGGAAGTCATGGGCTTGCTTCTTTGTCTTCCATCACCTTGGAATTTTCTTCTGGTTTTATATATCCTATTCACAGGTACTCAGGCATTTTTCTAGATTACCACAGAATGAGCATTTTCTTAACAGTGAAAAAACAGTCTTTCATCTGTAGCTGTCGCTGTCTGTTTATATGGTTTTCTTCTGATCTCTACCTCTCAGTCTACCCTGAAATTGATATCCTTATTTTCCCTTCTTGTCATACACTAAGTAAGTACTCTCAAAACTTTTAGATTTCGTCTTTTAAGACATTTTTTTCAGACTGTGGGTCACAGCTCATTACTAGGTAATGAAACCAATTTATAGGAACATTTTTTTTTAAAAGTCAGAGTAGAAAGTATAAGTATTGTTTTCAAAAATATGTTTCAATTTTATTTAAATGTCTGTATGTGTGCATGCACTTGTGTGTGTATGGGGTGTATTTAAGAAATGTATTTCTTACTGTAAAAAATGCTTGACAATCATTGCTCTACAGGAGAGGGTCTATGGCTTCTTGCTCCTCTAAAGGACCCGTTTGCAATGCAGCCATGAGGACAATAACCACACTGTTTGCATTTCTCTTTTTGGGCTTGGTGACCACCCTGGCTCTACTGGCTGCACTTCCCAGTTGACAAACACCAGGCAGTCTAGCATCACAGCCAGTACTTACCACTATATATTTTTGGTCTGACCTATTTCCACAGCCTTTTCTGATCTATGAAGTTACTGTCAACACACTGGGTGGTATTATTTATCTTCCTCACATGGTTTTGGATGACAAAGATTCATCCCTGAGAAAAACGATTAGGAAAGGTTGTCCTTAAGAAAAAAACAAAGCTCTTTCTCAGTGCCCTCTTTCAAGCTTTCCCCCTTCAAACTTATCTGTTTGATAGGAATTAAAGCCTCATATCTACACACATCAAAGGTTTTATAATAATTGAAGAACAGCCTAACAGCATGTCATAAATTCTCCATGTTCCTTCTGCTCCATGTGGGTAGTGGGGACTGAGATTGAGGTGGGAACCAGAGAGCCTGAAGAGCAGACTATCTGAAAGAGGAGCATCTAACATGAGTACAGCAGTTTTAGCAAAGAGAGGTGAACATTAGTTACATAATGAAGACACCTGGACTGCGGGATGGTGGTCACCTCCTAAGGGTCACAGTCACGTTCGCTGTAAAATTAAGCATGTATATAGAGGAAGTTTATGATAAAGCTAAAATGAGAAAAAATGAAGAGTTGGAGTAAGCAAACTGTGATGCAGAGACTCAAAATATCTTTGTTCAAGTAAAATAGAAGTTTGTCTCTTGTTCAAACAACAGTCCGGGGAGCATGGTCCCTGTCAATTCCACACCATCATTCAGGGACCCAAGTTGATGGCTACTGTCATTCTCAACATGTGGTTTTCAGGGTCCTTCTGGGCCATGACAATGCAATTGGGGAAAAGCATGAAGACATTTGCGTGAAAGAGTTCATGGGTTTGGCCTGAAAGGAGCACCCATTACTTTTGCTTCTATCTAAAAGAATCACATGGCTGCAGCAGGGAGGCTGTGATGTACAATTTGCCTGGACAGCCATATATTCTGTGAAAGACTCGGATGACTGGCTGGCAGCCTCTTTCACAGGAATTAACAGTCATTGGGTGCCTGGTGGGTACCAAATGATCCACTGGGTACTTTAGATACTCTGTCTTACCTAGTTCTTGAAACAACATTAGATGTGGTAGGTAATATAATCTTTTACAGAAAACAAAACTGAGGTCTAGAATATGTAATAGCTGACAAACTGTTATCATCCTTCTCCTTAACATGGCAATCATTAATTGAGTATTCACTGTTTCAGATGCTCTTAGTGCTTCAGAAAGCATTGTCTTTAATTGGCTTACTGTGGCAGGCAGAATTGTCTCCCAAAATGTGCAGGACTAATCCCTGGAGTATGCTCATGGGTTGCATTACATGGTAAAAGGGACTTTGCAGATGTAATTAAGCCTTGGGACTTTAAAATAGAGAGATAATCCTGGATTGGCTAGATGTGCTGAATACAGCTACAGGAGCCCTGAAAAGCAGAGAGTTTTCTCTGGCTGGGTTGAGAGAGACGTAGCAGAAGTAGAAACCAGAGAGACTCCGATGGTAAGAATTTGATGTGTCATTGCTGGTTCTGAGATGTAGGGGGCTCTGTATAAGAACTGGGGAGAGGCCTCTAGGAGCTAAGGGGAAGCCCCCACTGACAACAAGCAAGGAAGTGGGGTCCTTTTCCTAAAGCTGAATTCTGCCAACAATCTGAAGGATCTTGAAAGTGAATTTTCCCCTGAACCTCCAGAAAAGAATACAGCCCTATTGATACCTAGAGTTCAGTCTTGAGAGACCCGAAGCAGAGAAGCCTAGTTCAGCAACCCCATGCCTGGACTTTCTGACCCACAGAAACTGTGATATAATAATAAAATGATGTTGTTCTAAGCCACTAAGTTTGTAGTTATTTGTTACAGCAGCAGTAGAAAAGTAATGCACTTTTAAAAATCTTTCAAGGTAAATGTTCTTTTTTTAATTTTATGAATTGATAAAAGTAAAATTTAGTGCAGAAATGGAATTTGAATCTAGATGTATTTGGCTTCAGAGTATTTTTTTCCCTTCCTGTACTGTGACAGTTCCTTCCATGAGATGTTGAAATGTCTTATAAAATGTACATAGTACTATGCATATAAAAGGTATGATTGTTAGTATTAGGAGTAATATTTATTTCATAAATGTAAATAGGTTTTAAGAGTAAATAACGAGGAAGGTATTGAGAAACAACAGACACAAAGGTAGTTTAGTCTGGAATTTATTTTCAAGTCTAAAAGAAAAGCAAGAAAGAGCTATTATGTTGTTAATTATGCCTTTTTTAAAAATTAAACACAGCTATTTTTGTTTGTATAAATAATTAAGAGATCCATTTTAGTTCTATGTCTTTGAGACAATCCAATTAAAGCAAAGTAGGGGCAGACAGTTTGATCTATCTTTTGTTTTCTAAGGCTCTGAATTGCTCTTTTCATTTGACAGGTGGATAAATTACTTTTCCCTGCCCAACTATTCTCTAATCACGCAAACACATACAAGAGAAACAGACATTAACACATAAAAAGAAATAAGTGATAATTTGATATATCATGAGGAAAAGCTGACATTAAAGAACAGAATTTACATGTAAAAAAATTTAATGTCGATCTTTTATGATGACAAATCTTCAGAAATAATACATATGACAAAACCACTTAGTGCATAAGTAGAATTTTCCAAGCAATTGCTCTTCAAGGAATTAGAAATCGAGGCCAATATTTCTAAAATCCACTGTGGATAATATTTTCAAGTTATTATGTAACCATTTGTTTTTTTCCTAAACTCTGGACCTACTTTTCAGACTGTTGCTGATCACTAAACAGTATTTATATTGAGGTTATGTAGGTGAAAGCCTGCCTGTATATCAGTGACTATAACCTGGCTCTCATTTCTCCTCATGTCTTTCATCTCCATGCTTGAAATTCAGTATTCCAGGTGAATTGTCTTTGTGAAAGAAAAAACATAAGTGCAGATAATAAAGCAATAGTCTTCTTACTTTTCCACGGTTTATGACTGCAATATAAAAGAAGCTTTCAGTTAACTGTAAGCAAAAAATAAAAGAAACAGGTGGGGAACACTCATTTCAAAGATACAAGGAATTCTCATATTTCCTTTCAGTTGAGTTGTCCATCTTCACTTGAACTAACATTTTTTTTTTTTTTCTCTCTTATCCCAATAGGAATACTATGACAAAGGAGATTACATCATTAGAGAGGGTGAGGAAGGAAGTACCTTTTTCATTTTGGCAAAAGGAAAGGTAAATATTAACTAAAACTTACTTAAAGTGAATAGAAAAATTATTTTAAATCAGTTTGCCATAAATGCAACAATGCTTTGCATTGCAGCATAAGTCGTTGAACAGATAAAAGAGCTTCTGCCAGAAGCGTCCCATGGGGTTCTGTCTGAGCACTGGGTTTGGGGTGGGGGCCACAGAAGACTTGTGTTGGGTTCTAGCTGAGGTAGTAACTTCTTAGGATTTCATGCAGGTCACTTGACTTTCTTTGGACCTAATTTAATTATGTGTAAGATGGCTGGATTATTTCTAGGGTTCCTGCTAACTATGAGTATTTGATTCTCAACCAGCCCAAAAGTCCAAAATCAGTACTGCAACATTTTCCCATGCAACAGGTATGACAAGCAGCAGGTGGAGGCAAATGAATTCAGCAATCGAGGACAGCAAAGGTCAGGCACTATGCTGTAGAACCAATATGGTTCAGAACTTCAATTCGTACACAGCCCAAGTTGGTTTAGATGATGATGGAAAATTTATACTAATATATGTAGTAGGTCTTTTTCTTTTCCCTGATGTGAATGGATAACATGTTGCCAGTTGTTCCTACGTAGACTCTTAACAATGTTCCTTAGAGATAAAAAGTATTTTTGAAACATTGAAGGAAAGTGTCAATTTTTGAGCACGTGTGTCTATAAACTTGGATGTTTACATATGTTCTCTCTTCTGATGAGTTTATCATCAGAGATACAGTCACTGCCCTTTGTAAACTGATTTGTGGTTGAACTTTGAACTGGGCCCCCAGAGAAGGAAAAACATGAACAAAATAGTTTCAAACTTCTGAAATTCTTTAACATTCAGAACCACTTATCATTTCTGCCCAAACTGGACCTTGTGCTTTGAAAGAATTCTGGCTAATAAACAAGTTGCATTTATTATTATTTAAAAATTTTTAATTCATTGTCACATACATAAATACTAACCAGAATTTCTAATTAGCATGAAGCAACACTTGTAACCATGTTGAATTGTAATAATTTTAGCCACAAATGGGGAATATTGAAGTTTTTGTTTGGCTCTGCTGTGGGGGTTCTTAAACCTTCCTAGGCCACGGATCACTTTGAGGTGCTCGTGAAAGTTGTGGACCCTTCTCCAATCTACATTTTGTATTTAGTTTTAGGGGGGTACACAGGATTCATCCAATCAATTTGTGGACACAGACTCAGAACTGCTGATACTCAACCTTATTCTGGTTTAATTTGTCAACTCTGTTAGGCTTTTTGAAATAATGAAAGTTCTCATAGGACCACTGTTATTTGCTTTGAGGATGCCTATGAAGAAATCACTGGATTCACATAAAAAATTTGTGAAGTAGGCTTTGAATGGAGAATTTTCCTCTTACAGAGGTTAGAGTCATTTGATTGTGTTAAACCACATCCATCAAAATGAGCTGAGGGTAGTTAATTATCCTAACTAGTGCAAAATTAAAGCAAAGTCTTATCTCTTGTTCAGCAAGTTTATGTAGGTGTGGAGGGTTTGGATGAACGAATATGTGTTCAGATTCTTCTCTTTCTTTTTTTCTCTCTCTTTTTAATTGTTCAACATTGTTTAGGTAAAAGTCACGCAGAGTACAGAGGGCCATGATCAACCCCAGTTGATAAAAACACTGCAGAAAGGAGAATACTTTGGAGAAAAAGCTCTTATCAGGTGAATCCATGAATTTACATACCATACTTAAATAAAATGCTTTGACTGTTTTAATATGAAACTCCTCATTTAGAGTTGTCAAGTTGAGCTACCAAATTAATAGCAGCAAATATCTAGGAATAAAACAAAAACTTTAAACTGACTTTTAAAAAAACTTCATTGTTATGCAGGAAATAAGTACACTAATTTTGCACATGAAATAATTGGAAAGTCTTAAGTTTACTAGTGAGAATAAAATTGGTGTTCTATTAGAATTTTTAGTTTAAAAAAGAGAAAAAGATGAAACATGAGAAAATTATCATTTTCCCTTAAGAGCAAGTTATTATATGTTCAAGGTTTGAAATATGGCCCTGGGTAGAGTTTTCACCCTTTCAAAAAATGATCAAGTGATGACTTTACATATTTTGGATACTTTTAAATCATCATTTCAAAAGTAGTATTTTCTTAAGGATTTTTATCAGCTCATTTTACAAGTTTTAGAGACAATTCAAAATAGTGTATTTGAAATTTCTACCTGAACCTTCCATCTTTTAAGGTATGAGTGTATTTACTGCTGATCTAATTTATGGAAGAAACATTTTTAAAGGCTAATCAAATGGCTCAAGGGATACTTTGCACTTCCTGGAACTTGTAAAACCTGAAGTCTGAAGAAGTACATTTTCCTAAATATAAATGAGTTTTTAAAATATCAGGTTAAAGTTTAGGGAAACACATTTTTTTTTGGTTATATATATTTTTAAATGAATGCTTGGATTTATTTAAGAAGTCACTTAGAATTTATGTTATGACTAAATGCTTTATTTCCAATTATGCTAATAGAAAAGTAGTAGTATTTCTGTTCATTTATCTTCTTAACTTTTGCCTATGAAGCCCCAATTCTGCTGATTTGCATGTCAGATAAGTACAGAGTGAAGAAAAAGTATTCAGAAATGACCTGAAGACAAATTTGATTATTTAAAAATCATAAGGCCCTATTTTTAAAAAAGAAAATCACTAATAAAACTTTAAAAATTAAGGTATAACTATTAAGTAAATAATTTAAACATGGAATTTAAAGACTGAATTTTTCCTTTCCATTTTCTAGCTGGTAATGAACTTGTTTCAATAATAGGGAAATTATCATTCTTTTTGTTTGTTTGTTTAATTGCCATAGAATATGAATACATTCATGCAATATAATAATTTAATATCATTATCCAAGATTTTGATGTATTTGTTCTTAACATTAACAAATTATTTTTCTCATACTTCCAAGCAAAACAACTAAAGCTTGAAAGTGCACAGAACTTTATAAATATAACATAGAGTCAAAATAGCTCTTGAGAGGAAATATTTTATCTGGTTTTGTTGGACCTTAAATAATTTATGCTGTATGTTGCAGCTAGCCAATTATAGTGTTTTACCTTGAGAAACATGGGAATTTATGTTTAATATAGACATGCAACTTCCAGAAGCAGTTGAAAGCATAAAGCTAAAATCAATGGGAAGGAAAGTTGGAAACAAATATTTTTACATTTTGTGCATTTTTATGCTATCACTTTTTAGGGCCACTGTGATTCAATATTCTTTATATTCTGCATATTTCCATGACTTGACATTAAATGGTCCCCAGAGAGCTTTCAGAATTTTATGTGAAAAAAAAAAAATCCATGGCACTTAACAGTTACTATGAAAGAAGCATAAGTGTATTTATAAACATCTAATATTTGTAAAAGTGTTTGCAGGGAATGTTCTCAGTCATGTGAAAGGAATGCTTTGTCTATTCCCTTTCTCTAAACTCACAAATCAAATAATTCACCCACAGTCCAAGATCATGTCTATGTCTATATCTATCTGGCTCTGTCTCTATCATCTTTATCTCTATCTAGACCTTTACTACCTTTACCTACACACATACAAGTTAAGCAGAAACTATTCTGCTCTTGACTCAAAAGTTCATGAAGCTGAAGTGTTTTCATCTTCTAGCAAGAACCCTGTAAACTTGAGAGGGGCCCTGAGTTATGTCAGAAGGTCTCAGGATGTTAGCTAGGTAGATAGAGGACTTCTTCAAAATGGTAAAGATGAACTGCCAAAGTTTTCCCTGACCCACTGACCTTGCTCAGGACTGCTGGCTGTGCTTGGTCATGGGACGAAGTAGCATGAAGGAGATGAGATCTGAGGATCTAGATCCAATTCACCCACCACTCAGGGAAAATGAAGATGAAGGAACTAATCTTTGTATGTTGCCATTTTTGATGAAGTTGCCTAGAGCAGTCCAAATGTTTACCACTCCATAGTTTGTTTGCTACTCCTAGGTTGCTTAAATGAATCTCAGAGTCATATGGACTCTGAGATTTAGTTCAATAGTGGGAGGAAACTAATGTAAGGAAAGGTCTCTAAAGAAATACTTTACCTGATACATGACCCATTGGTAATTTATTAGGTAAATTTACCATCATCAGATCATATACAATAATCTATCATATCCAAGATATCAATTGTAAGATGTACCACTATGCTAGGTACCCCTAAGAGGGAAAGACAGTGCTGCTGATTACACTAGGACTCATCATCAGTTGTAAGGCATGCTCTGATGTTGGAGATTTTCATAGAAAATATACATTCTACACTCTATGAAATGAAAGTATTTTAGTATTTGTTTAATTAATTGGGTGATATGGCACTGAAAACACTTTCTTTGGATTTTATTCTTGATTAGTTATCATATGTTAATTGCTTGTCTGTTTTCTCAGTAAAAGTCTCTGATCAGTCTATTTCTGTCTTGCCTCCTTGTTAATTAGTAATTCTCCTTTGATCAGGGGAAAGCTATTTTATTTTGGCTGTCAGAAAGCTCAGAGTGAGATTCCATACACAGTTGTAGCCCCTGATTCTTCTGTGTTCCCTGTGTAATTATCTTCTCTGAATTCCTTGTGCACATAACCTTTATTGGGACATATTTCAAATCTGTTTTTTGGAAAGGGGTTGAGCATAATTTATGATGTAAAGAAAAGCATAGCTTTTGGAAGGTTTAAGTGATGGTTGTGCTTTCATACAAAGTAGTAATTCTCTAATGAAAATGGATGTGTAATTTCTAACTGTAGTGAAAATTGACTTTCATGTTTTTGTCTGCAGTGATGATGTCAGATCAGCTAACATTATTGCTGAAGAAAATGATGTCGCATGCCTGGTTATAGATCGAGAGTGAGTATACTGATGTTATTAAGAAGGCAGGCTAGTGCCACCTTTGAAGACTTGGCCTTCTTTTACTCCTAGCACTGATCTGTTTTCTCATTCATCACCACTTGGAAATGCTGGCCAATCCTCAGCTGCTAGTACATTCTTTTAAAATTCATGGGAAGGAACTGGGTCTTCCGATTTGAATTTGTCTGTGGCAGTGGCAGATGCTGGCAGGCTAAATATTTTGTCTGCAAAGTTTATGTATAAATATCAGCAATAGACTGATTTAAATCTGTGTCTTCCAGAGAAATAAAGCGTATTAGTGCTCTTATGGTTTTTTTCCACACAATATAGTGAATAATTTCATAATTTATTTCTAAAATGCCCTTAGTCAAATGCCCAGTCAGAAAACTGTTTCAAACAAAACCTCTTTCAGACAAAGTGTAAAATAGTCATTAGGTATATATATTTACAGAGAAGTTTTAATTTAACATTTGTAGTAATTTATAAGTGATGTTGTATCAATATTAATCTCTAAATGTCTTAGAGTATTTTTCAAAATGTCTCATTTTATAGCTTTCACACACTTCAAATCATATTTGAATCTGACCCCTTGGATCTCTCATTAATCAGTTAAATAGTTATTGGTTATCTATCAGTAAAGAAAATTCAAATATGCTAAAGCTAGGCCATTGTCTAAGAAAAGTCATAGTATAGTCAAAGAAATGGAGTATACTCATATGAAATACAGGGTACTTCAAAAAGTTCATGGAAAGTTGCATATTAGCTCTTAATTTCATTTTCCATGAATTTTTTGAAGTACCCTCATATTAACAAAAAATAATAAAATGACAAGAGATACCACAAGGGAGCGTATGTAGTTGACTGCTGATTGAATATAACATTTATTGAATCATAGAGATGTAGAGCTGGAAAAACCTTAAAGCATTTAAAAATCTTTTTATTGTGGAAAATTCCAAACATATTAAAAAATAGAGTGGTATTATGAACCCCCCATAATGCAAGTTCAACAATGATCAATTCATGCCTGATCTATACCCCTTCACCACTTCCTGCCATCTCCACACTGCTTTCAAGGAAATTGCAAACATAAAATTATTTCATCTGTAAATTTTTGTAGCATCTCTAAAAGCAAAGTCTTATTTGTAATGTACAACCACAAATAATGTTAACATGCGTGAAAAGTTAATAACAATAATTAATGTTGTTTAGAGTTATTTCCATTCTCTCACTTACAGATATGAAAAGTGAGTCCCGGAAAGGTTAAAAAATTGCCCCAACAGTGCCCTCTGTGATGGCACTCACATCCTGCCTCATTTCAGCATTCTTTCTACCCTACCATTTGGTTCCCACAGCACGTGGTTAGAGAGAGAAGCAATCACTATGTATTGAAGTGGCCAAGGCATTATTTTATTTTTTAAGTGTAAGAATGGGGCTTAAAGAATTAGTAGGATTTTTCTAGGCAAAGAGGAAATGTAGAAGTCACCCCTGGTGAAGTAAAACTCAAAAGCAAAGGCAAAGGGCTAGAAAAATGCAAAGTGTGTTCAGGTAAAGTTAATCTTTGGATGCCAACTCTGAATTGGAAAATAATTGGTACCATATTGTCCCAATATTCATTATTTTGCATATGAGTTCCTTAAAAATATATGCATGCACTGAATAGCATTAGCTATGTGGTGAAATCTTACAAATTGCTCCAAAATGCTAGGACTAAAAATAGGACAGAAAGGAAGAACTCCTTTCCTTTTTCTTCATTGTTATCACATATACCAAAATGTTTATGTAATATCTCATGTATTCATAATCCTTGAAAGGGTTGCAATGATTTTATATATTTTACAAATTATTTGGAAGTTTATAATTTTAAAATGTATAATTTACATGTGTATAGTTGAGAGTCTATAATATATTAAGTATTGTGTTAGGTACAATGAGACATAAAAGTTATATAAATTTATTCGATGGGTGAGAGACATTGAATATCAGGTATGACTAGGTTGATCCTGGATTTCCTGGGACAGTTTGGATTATCCCAACATATTTATTATTGGCACCTTAGTTCACTCTGAAAAGTATTCCAGTTTGAATGATAAATTATATGATCATCCTAGCTATTATTTATAGACTAGATTAAGATCCCATGATAATGCTCCTATAGCACCCTACCTACCCTTACCATATTATTATTTACACTTTGGTTGTTTGATTTCACACCTGTCTTCCCACTCTTCTGTAAGCTTCATGAATACAGAGACGTGTAACCTGTTCACGGCTGCTGCAGTGCAAGCTTCTGACATAGTCCTTGGCATATGGGAAGTTCTCACCAGATGGTGGCAAAATAAAGGGCACCACCCTTGCACTGAGATATAGTGATGGAAAACCTATGGCTTTTTATGTCTTCTTTCCTAATTCAGGATTTTATCAGATGCTTAGAATGAAAACAGTGCAAGAAGGAGAGTTAAAGTTTGAGCTATATTTCCTATTTTTAAATGCAATAAGATGAGAAATAATTGTTTTGGCAAGAGCTCTAAACAAATGGGAAGTGTTATTTGTGACATGTGCATCATTGTTTGATTATTGGGACAAATCTCAAGGGAGTTAATTAGTTACTCCTCAGGCTTAACTTCTGAAGGAATATAACATCTGAAGCTGTTTGGAAGTTACAGCTAGAATGTTGTAACTCTTTAAACTTGACTTTAAGATTAGTTAACAGAGAACCTCTAGGGGCCTGTAGCACCAGTGTCACCTACATTAAAAAATAAGATTTGTTTACAACAAACTTCAGTTAGTTTAATAGCAAGCAAAATAATGGTGAAGTATAAAATAGATAAAAATGAAACAAAGTACAACAAATGTTTTCTTTTTAATTGAAATTTTCTACTATTGGAAATTAGAAAATCCGTGGCAAAACTGTTTTATGTCTCACTACTCCCAGTCAATACAGGACAGTTCACAGAACAGGGAAGAAAAGAGTAGATCTGGAGGGAAATACCCAGCACAGTATGTAATACGTGTTTAATAGGTAAATACAGGTTGGTTGTCAATTAAATGTGGGTAGAGGCAGTAAGTAGTGACAGTACAGTTTTGAGCTGGCTCTGGCTTACTAGTTTTAGGTATTTTGAGGTAAATTTTCTTTCTACTATGTACCAGGTGCCTAAAATGTTGCCTAGGTGATTAGTAGGGAAACATTGGAAGGATAACCAAGAAAATGATCCTTTCACTGGTGAGGAAGGAGATTATTTTCTCTCATGGTCAGTGGAATATGTAAGAATTCCCAGAGACAACAGACTGGGAACATCAGAGATTAGATCAGGCATGCGCCTAGGTGATTAGTAGGGAAACATTGGAAGGATAACCAAGAAAATGATCCTTTCACTGGTGGGGAAGGAGATTATTTTCTCTCATGGTCAGTGGAATATGTAAGAATTCCCAGAGACAACAGACTGGGAACATCAGAGATTAGATCAGGCATGAAACCAGCCTATGATCCGTGAGGGGTGAGAGAGGTCAAGAGAAGACGTTGGCTCAGCCTCAGAGAGAGAGTTACGATGTTAAGTGAAAAATTTTCAATTTAATTATGAAGGAATGTGAAATGGAGAGAATTGTCTAGAGACAAAAGAAGAGATACATTTATCTTTGATTTTTTTAATCAATAGCTTAATTTAATTAAGCAGAACTAGAAGAATCTGTAACCCATGTAAAGTGTTGATTCAGTAAACAGATCATGTAGACTGTTTCCTTTTCACTTTCTCCTTAAACAAAACAAAATAAAAACAAGGCAAAAAAAAAAGCAAGGCAAAAAACTGCAGTGTTTTCTCTTTTCTCTGATAGCCCTCTTTGCTTTCATAAACTCAAAAGATCAATTATATAGCTTCAAATAACTATACTACATATTATAGCAAATTTAATATTTCATATATTATTGAAAAACAATTTGCAAAGTCATAAATAACCATACAAATAGTCTGTGAGCTTAAGAAGAATGTCAAATTGCCTTGGTAACTATCAGCACAGAGCATTTTATTTTATTTTATTTGTTTAGAACATTCAACCAAACTGTCGGGACATTTGAAGAACTTCAAAAATACCTTGAAGGGTATGTGGCGAACCTGAACCGTGATGATGAAAAAAGACATGCAAAGTAAGTGAAGGAGCATTTACCCAAACTGGACGTGACTTCCGGCCACTGACAGAGAAGGGGCAGAGGGATATGATTCACTATGTGCTAACTTTTAATGTGTCTTCACTAGATAATTCTGGGGAGTTCTTTTTATTTGATTTATTTATTTTTATTTTATTTTATCAATATACAATGTAGTTGATTTTCGAGTCCCTTTACCAATTCCTCCCTTCTCCTTCCCTCTCCCCCCTCCTGCCCATCAACATCATATCTGTTCACTTGTCTTAAGTTCAAGGAATTGTGATTGTTGTGTCTTCTTCCCCATTCTTTTAAATTGTTCTTTCACAAGGAAGACACCACTAGAGTGGATGTTATTTAAGTCTGTAAGTAGTTAGCTTCTTTATTTTAAGTGATGAGTACGAATGTTAGGGAGAAATTTCCTGATAGGAGCCTTAAGAAAGAGATTCCTTATATTGGTAACTTAGCTCAAAAGAACATTCATAGATGATTACAGGGTTATAGTTAGAATTTTTTAAAATACAAGGAAGCTATTGCTAGGATGTGTGTGTGGATGAAGGGGTTGAGTAATAATGATGATTTTTAAAATTTATTTACTAGAAAAGTCTACTTTGTTAAGTAAAAATTATTTAAAAATTATTTCCTAAAACATTTTTTAGAGCAAATTCTTAAACATATGTTCACCAGATAGTACTATTGAAGTTGTATAGGCAAAATTTATAGAAAACTGAAGTTTGAGTTAAGTTAGAATATTCGATTAGTACCTTATAAGGTTTTTTTTGCAGGGAATGCATTTGCAATTTTTATGAAGGCATTATGGTATGGTAACAACTTATGAATATACAGCCCAAAGCAGCAAACCTTAATTAAAAGAGAAAAAAACAGGTGTTTTCTAACAACAATACTGAGACATAAAGAAATGCACTTTTCATGTTTCACAAAGCAATTATTCTGGGTAAGCCATGGAAAGCTTTAAGATCTGACAAAAATAGCAAAACATGGCAATGATTCTCACTATGGCATTCTTTCTGGTTTTATTCCCTTTCATTAACTCCTTTTGTTGTTTGTTTGTTTATTTGTTTGTTTTTTAGTTTTGGTTGTTTTTTAATAGCTTTATTGAGTTATATTTTAAATACCACAAAATTTATAATTCACCTTTTATCCCTCATTGATTCGATTTAACACTTATTTATTTCTTATTTTGCATGTGTATGTACGTATGTCTGTGTGAGTTTTATGTCTGTATAATCTATTGTTTTTCTTCCCAGATGTGCCTGGATCTGATCCTATGAAAGCTGAGATAGCCTTTGTGGCAACTATAGGCAGTAATTACAGGCAGGATTAAGACTGTTATAAGAGTGGAATTTGTGTATGGCATGACGCCTGCTCGACTAAGGGAGTGTGTGTCAAGTTTCACTTCTCTTGTACAGGCGGTCCATGTCTAACTGGAAGCTCTCCAAAGCACTCTCTCTGGAGATGATTCAGCTGAAGGAGAAGGTGGCCAGATTTTCCTCATCATCCCCATTCCAGAACCTTGAGATTATCGCAACACTGGGCGTTGGTGGGTTCGGAAGAGTTGAACTTGTAAGGGGTTTACGTTTCAAGCATCTGAGAGAAGCCTTTTGACTTATTTTGTTTTATATTCCAGCAAATCTTGGAGGAATATATGAATTGATATTGCTATCTTAAATGTTGCTCTGAACTGAAATAGAGAAAACAAACTTTTCACTCTGTATATTGTATAGTAGCAGGTCTGTGCTAGTAAGTAACTTAGCTATTTCAAGTTTCTTACATCACATCTTTGGCCAATTTTTTTCTTGATGGCAATTATTGGTGAATGTACCAAGTAAGTATTTCCCAAAGGAAACATAAGAAAATGTATTTACTAACAGCAAAATCTGTGTATACGTATATATATTCACAACACACTAACTCTCTATACACTAAAGAAAAGAAGAATGTGTCTAGCAGAAATGCCAAAGAAATGAAATCTTTAGTGTTATAGTTAGGGTCCTTAAACAACTCCACAACCATGTCTTTATTTGGCTTTCATTATCCTATTTTTGGGTTGCTCAAGATTCTCTATCAGCAAAAAAAAAAGGAAGATGAATGCAAGGGGGTGTTTGAGAGCAGCCTTCTATAGCGTTGATCAGGACAGCTGGGAACTTACAGCCTGATTTCAATTTTATCTTCCCCATCCCCACTTCTCTGAGCTTTATAATCAGCTTCCAAGTAGCAGCAGAAGTGGTACTGTAAGATCAAGTGTTCTGAGGAAACTATACAAAAGAGCTCTGTGACCTTACTGGGTACAGTTGGCTCTGAACCCTCAGCAATTACCAAGCCCTTTCTTGCCCATCAGATTTTTAATGATTCATTGTACATGAACCTCAAGGAACTATACTGACACTTCCATCTACTGGATGGCCCCGGGCACAAGCAGATCTGAAATGTTGCCAGGATGCTCTGGGGATAAAATGGTTTCTTATCAGGGCAAAGAGTATTTGTAATGTTTCTTATGCCATATGGAGGGATAAGGGTAATATCTGTCTGCAGTGGTATTTTTTTTTTTTTTACCAGAGATCATGGCAAAAAGATTGAATTAACAATGCTGACATCTGTTGTCCTAAATAATAATTATTGAAGCAGTAATTCCACCACTGATTTAAAAGTCATGGGCAGCATTAATGGCAAATGCGAGCAAAATATGGGGAGCAGCCATTTCTGCACAATCTAGTTACTTGCCAAGTATAGTCTGCTTATACAGTTTTAAACATATTAGAAAAAAACACCTATTTAAACATCTTTGTTTCCTTTTGAGGGAAATTCTGATCATGTATGTAGAGCAATATTCTCTGACAGAATTTTCTGTGCTGATGGAAATGCCCTGTATCTGCACTGTCCAAGACGGTAGCCACTAGCTAGGTGTGGCTATTGAGCTTTTGAAATGCAACAGAGAAACTGAATTTTTAATTTTATTTAATTTCAATTTAAATGATCTTGTGTGGTCAGTGGCTACCCTATTGGATAGTGCAGATAAATAGAGCTTGACTTAATATGTTTTGCTTTGAAAATCAAAGAAGCGATTATTAAGAGAGAACAATTTTTGGCAATTCTGGTCAAAGTTTTCCATGTTACACAATCAAAGCTGAACAGATTTCTAAACATTAAATATTCTAACCAGAACTTTTTTTTTCTTTTTTCAATACAACTATATTAGAACCATGTCCCAGATATATGAGCTGTGTTGAAAATCATGATAAAAGGGAGATGTGTCCACCTGAATGGAACTCAGTTCTCAGAGGAATAAGTGGTTAAAAAACCTACATACTATTTAAATATGAAACCATTTTAACTCTCATTAATTAACATGTTTATATAGATATTGCAAATCTTTTCTAGTACGTTAATTCTGAGGGATCTTTCTATTTCTTACATAGGTTAAAGTAAAAAATGAGAATGTTGCTTTTGCTATGAAATGTATAAGGAAGAAACACATAGTTGACACTAAGCAACAGGAGCATGTCTACTCAGAAAAGCGGATCCTGGAAGAGCTGTGTTCTCCATTCATTGTGAAGTAAGTGAGCGTGTGGCCTATGGGACTCGTGACTTTTAGGCTCTCCTTTCGGATGTCTCTGCAGGAGGATGGACTACTCAGAAAAGCGGATCCTGGAAGAGCTGTGTTCTCCATTCATTGTGAAGTAAGTGAGCGCGTGGCCTATGGGACTCGTGACTTTTAGGCTCTCCTTTCGGATGTCTCTGCAGGAGGATGGAAAGAAGAGAGGAGGTCTCTGAATTCTCGATCCCACTCACAGCAACAGTACTTAAAATGTTAGAAGTTTGAGATCTGGGATCAGAAGTTTTCCAGTTGTTTGTATTTTTGAGTAGACCTTACAAAAGTGTGTATTGGTGCGTGTGTGTGTCTGTGTGAATGAAAGATCGTTGGGGAATAATTTGAACTGATTACTTTATCCATACCTAATGCAGAATTTGGGAACAGGAAGCAAGAATTATAAGAATTATAAGAAACTCCTCAAGGGGTGTACTGATGTTGGATTTCTGCAGGAAGAGGCATTTGGGCATCTGTGGGCTGCCAAGGTGGAACATGCCCTGGTCCTAGCAGTGTCTTCATTTCAAAAGATCTATCTCCTAGTAGCTATTTTTTTTTTTTTTTGTAGCTATCACCAGAATTTGCAGGAGAAATATAAATTATTCTAGGTCATAGCTCTCTTTACTTGTGAATTTATGGATTAGAGGTGTAAGCCAGTTTATGTTTTTATATATGTTTTAAGGCCCCAGAATGTAGTTTTAGTGACTTGGGGATAATGTAAAGTGTCCCTATAATGGAGAGAATTTATACTTTTTGATCAAATGCCTTGAAAGAATTTTTCTGCCTATCCATATTCCCAGAACTGTTTTTATTTTTTATTTATTTATTTTTTTTCATTAGGAAATAATTATAAGAAAACATCACTTGATAAAATAAAGTAGTAATTGTAATCTTGTCTTAGTTAACATTACAATTAGGGTCATATGCACCCTGTCATCTCTATTTTAGGTAATAAAGAATGCCAGGCTTAGACAGGGTGTGAACTATCCAAGATTACATGGCTAGTACCAGCCAGAGTCAGGATGTAAAGCCAGATGTTTCTTATTCCAAATCTCTAGCAAGGTGATAAAAAAAAAAGGCAGCATTGAGGAATGTTTAAGCCCTCGCTGAGAAGCAGAGTAAGATGTCGGCAGATATTCAATTTCACAAAAGGGGCAGTTTCCACACAATTAACACTACAGATTTATACTGAGCATCACCTATGTAAAAGGCTCCAGAGTGGACATTTTCTCGACAATGGAGACTTTTCTAACCAAGAGAGTAAGAAGTATAAGCTTTTCATCCAACAAGTTTAGAGTTTATTTGGGGAGATAATAAATGCAACTTAAAAAAATATTTTATTTTATGTGAAAACTAAATAATGACAAAGAAGTTAGCAATTTGTAATTAAATGACAAATTAGTGTTGTAGATAGTAGGCTTGGAGGAGGGGAGAGAGAGAAAAAACGTGATGATAGAGGAAGCATTTGAACTAAATTCTAAAGATGACAAAAGTTTGGAAAGGCAGAGAGGTGGGGAAACTGGTGTAGGACAAAGCAGGAAAGTTGGGATATTAGGTCTCTTAGTGGGTGAGGAACAGAAGAGTTCGAGTAGAAGACAACGCAGCAGAAGAGGAAATGGGAAGGTACTAAAAATGGGTTGGCACTAGATTGTGTGGTTAATGCCAGGCCAGACATGTAGACAGTCTTACCTGGACCAGAGTTTCTCAACCCTGGCTGCACATTACAATCACATGGGGAGTTTTTACAAAGTAAAAATGCTGGGCCCTAATTCCAGAGGTTACGATTCATTTCATCTGGGATAGGATCCAGTAAATGATTTTTTAAATGCTCTTCAGGCATTTCTAATGTGCATTCATGGTTGAGAATCACTGATCTAGGCAAGAGTGACCACTGAGCATCTGAGCAGAAGATGCATGTATTGTTAGGAACGTACTGTTGTGGAGAACCTGGAAGGTGAGAATTTCATGTTGCCTGCAAGCATTAGCCCCTTCCCTCTTTTGCTTCAACTGGCAAATCTTTTTAGAAAATCTAGATCTATTTAGAAGAGGGAGTTTCTATTACCTGTTGGGCACTGTGCTTAATCCTAAAAATAACTCTATTAAGTAAGTAGCAAACCCATTTTACAGGTATGGATCCTGAGGCTCAGAACAGTTAAAGTAAAACCTAGTTTCTCTCCTTCCAAAGCCACCCCCTTCTATTACACCCTGACAAATCACCACCACACCTAAAAAGTTCAGTGTGTAAAGCTACACACATTGCTGACACAGGGCACCTCTAATAAATGGTCAAGGGGCACCAGACAGGAAAGAGTTATGGCCCCGTTTCTCCCTGAATGGGTATACAATGTTATATGCTATGTAAACAGGAAATGGAAATGATTACTTGAGTCATTTTTTTAGTCAAGCAATAAATTACAGACGCCTGGCTCAAGCTCTCCACTGAAATAGTTGCATTTTTTCCAGAGTTTGTCATCGATGTCAAAAAAAATCTTTGTTTTCTTATTTTTCTATTTTATATGTTCATATGAGGTTACTTCACAAAGTTCATGGAAAAATGCAACAGGAAGATAATACGAATCTTCCCATGAATTTTTTGAAGTACCCTTGTATGTGATTACTAGAAACAATTGTTTGGATGTAGATATTTAAATTTTAGTGAAGTAGTTCTTGTTTGCATTAAGTATGCTCCCGAATGGTTTTATGATGAACAAGCAGCCTCATTCATTGGCAGTATAGAATATATTTTGGTGTTGATGTCCTGCAAAACATTTATATCACGTTGGTTTACCAATACAATAATTGACACCTAGAACAGCACCAAAGATGTGTATCCCGAGGATTAAGAGAGGAAATGATTTCATTGCAGAGGCAGCTTTGATGAACCCACCTCCAAATTCTGTGTTGCTTGTGTGACAGAAGCATTTGACTACCTGCATCGGCTAGGTATTATCTACAGAGACCTGAAGCCAGAAAACTTAATTTTAGATGCTGAGGGTTACCTTAAATTGGTAAGACACATTCTCTCACTTACAGTATGATGTGACATATTTCCCAAATTAAAGTTGTGTTATAATTGCAATTTTCTTTTCAATTTTGGTACAGGAGGGTTACCTTAAATTGGTAAGACACATTCTCTCACTTACAGTATGATGTGACATATTTCCAAAATTAAAGTTGTGTTATAATTGCAATTTTCTTTTCAATTTTGGTACAACTGTTACTTCCATTTTGTGGGAGGGGCATGGCCTTTGAAATCAGCACACTTAGTACAAGGAGCAGTGTTATGAGTACATTCTTTTTGGCCTAGAAATTTAATGTTCAGACTTATTTGTGACTCCTACTGAAGGTACACATAATAGAATGCCTTTAAAATTGGGTTTTATTAGTGTTTTTTTCCAATAATTTTAACTAGGTTTTATTTAATTCTGGCTACATATAGGGACTGCTTATAAGGGATAAGGAAAGAAGATAGTATGTCTCCTGCCCCAAGATTGTCATGGTCTATATATGGAGAAAAGATAAGCATGAAAATGTTGGTAGTTGTTTGGAAATCTTTGTAGGTGATTGTGTACTGTACATTCAGAGTTGAGAATCACAACACTGGACTACAGGCTTCTTGAGGACAAAGGCTTTCCTTGCTATCCATCTTTGTAATCTACTAATGCTTAGCATGAACTCCCTTGCATATCACACTAAAGAAAAAAATGCTACCAGTCATGTAAGCTGATTTCAGTGAGAAATTATAATAGAACTGAACAGTTATAACTCAGGAGAAACCATTTTGCTCTAGACTTCAGGAGGGAACTCTACCAGGGTAGGGAACCCATGATGAATTTTCCTGAGTCCATTTAGATAGTACTTCAAAGACATTAGATCACCTCTAAACTGGACATTCTTAAAGATATTAAAAGCTTCTTACTTCAGAATTTTTATATAAGGAAATAATAATAGCTACCATTTAATGAGCAATTACTATGTATAAAGCTACTCTGCTAAACCTTTTACAATTAATCTATTTAACAATCTGTAAGATAGGCTTTATCATCTACATGTTATAGTTCTATAATTTAGCCTTAGGAATTAAGTTTATTATATGTAATTGCTAAGAGATCTCTCTTCATCATGGGAATAAAACAAAAGCCGTTTCATGTGATATTTGGCTAACTTCCAAGAAACATTCTGATGCATTCAAGCGTCATTTTATCCATGAAAGACAGCTTTGAGAACTGGTGAGGTACGAGTACAAGGCTTCAATCACTCCTCTTCTTTACAATTTCTTCATTGGCTATGTTTCTTACAGATCTTTAAGGAAACTCTTTGGAATATTCTAGAAGAAAAACCATCATGAAGGATGCAGGCTATATGTTAGATTCATCCCTTCCTTCTCATAACTGTTTTAAAAATATCAGGAAGCATATTCAGTATTCAGTATTTATTAGGCATAGAAGTCAATAAAAAACTCCTGTTAGCCATTGTTATCTATCCTTCTAATTCATTTGCCAACCAGCTAAATGCAAAGTATTAACTAAAGGCTTTAGAAATTCAAATGTAAATGTTAGATATTTATATTCCTAGCTATATATTAACTTGGATATCCTGAAATCCTCTCGCTATGCCTAAAAATACTGGATGAAACAGGAAAAGCAGTGTTGTAAATGCATGTCTGAGTTTATACTACACCCTGGGAATCCCTCTGGGGCTGGGAACCAAGCTTGAACAGTAGTGTACTGTGGAAATCAAACATTGAAGCTGCCATCTTGTGTGTACCCAGCAGTCCTAGGTGGCTTAGAGGTTTGATTTTAGTAACTGTGCCTGCTGGGAACAAGAAACCAATCTTTGGATCTAGGGAGTGTGGAAAATCGAATCAGAGAACATTGCACAGGCACAGAGCCAGGAATCACACAAATTAAACTCTCAGAGAAACAGAAAACAAAAGAAAAAAAAAACCCACAACGATTTATAAAGACAGAGTACATGCAAGGAAACATGCTTTCTCATTACTGGCTCTTGGTGGAGGAACAAAAAAAAGTCTCCTCTAAGAATTCTTGGCCATGGCTGGTCTTAAAGGTGGTTGGGTGCCCAGTCTTCAAGGATGGAAAAATCCAAGCAAGTATTTAAGTGAAATTGCATTCATGTTGGTAGCATTCCTGTTACTGGTGACAGGCTTGGTTTGCCCTCTCACACTAAACAAATGACCCAAAAGTCCAAAAATTGGTGCAAGGACAGGAAGCTTTACTCAGAAAAATCCAAGCAAGTATTTAAGTGAAATTGCATTCATGTTGGTAGCATTCCTGTTACTGGCAACAGGCTTGGTTTGCCCTCTCACACTAAACAAATGACCCAAAAGTCCAAAAATTGGTGCAAGGACAGGAAGCTTTACTCAGATAACCAGCACCTGGGGGATGATCAGGCTAAAATCATCCTGCCTTCTGATGCCTGTTCTGGGGTTTATAAAGGGGAAGAGGAGGGATGGTGAGGTAAGGGTTTCATCCTGTGGGAAAAGGGGGAGCCTGGTCACAGGATCAGCAGAGGGTCTGAGTCAGATGTCAGGGTCCCGTGATGAACTGGGTGCTTTGGCGTCATGGAGTCTGCAGTTGGTCAGCTTCAAACCCTTGGTGTTATCTTGGGGTTGGAGTCCTTATCTCCTAGGCAGACCTCAAAGAAAATAACCTCAGTCAAGCATCACTGGCACATAAAAATACCTGACTCTTGTTCCTGTAACTAATGTGGATGCAATTTTCCTTTAAGCAACAAGGTGAGTTAATAATCAGCTAGGGTGCTTTGCCTTTCTCTTGGAATTCCTTTGTTTGAAGTTGATTAGGAAAGGTAAGAAAAAACAAGAAAACTTAGTTTCAGTTCTTAATTTTAAATGTGCAATGGGCTAAAGTAAATCAACATAAAAGGGTGTAATGAGATAAACAGAGATAAACAGAAATAAACTTTTGAGAAGAATCCTTTTGGGGAATAATTTCATCTCCCGGCAGTTTCAGCCATAAGGGTCAGTTTCTCGATTCCTCTGCTAACCTCAAGGAATTGATGATTATCAGTTCCTAAGTTAATGGCTAACTGAAATTTTCTGCTTGGTCTTAGTTATTCCAAAGATGACAGTTCTCTGGCTAAAGTCCCTTTCATGCCCAAGTTTTCCAAGAATCAATGTACATTCGTTCTGAAGAATATACTCTCAACTCAGGACACAAAGAACTTCTGGAGAGGAAGTCCCAGGAAACATGAGCTCACACTTTAAAAAATAAAATGAAATAAATGTATGAGGAAAAGAGCTACCATCAGCCAGAAGCAAAAAGAGCAGGAACAAAAAGAGCAGAAGCAGACACATAAGTGCATCATATACTGGAGTAATCAGCTACAGAATGTAAAATAGATACATCTAATGTGTTTTAAAAATAAGAGAGGTATCAAAAGTGAGTAAGGAACATAGAATCTCAAAAACAATCTAACAGATTTAGAACAAAACTAACAAAGCATCTATTAAAAGAAATTAAGAATATAATAATAAAAATGAAATATGCAATGAAATTTTTCATTAATGGTGGAGTAGCTTGCGTTGTACTATCCTCTTGATGAGATTAATTATATGTATAAACATGTGTGAAGGCACTGGAGAGCAACAAAAAGTAGATATTCAAGTCTTGGGAAAAGGGAACCATACTGGGTGCAATTAATGGTGGAGTAGCTTGCGTTGTACTATCCTCTTGATGAGATTAATTATATGTATAAACGTGTGAAGGCACTGGAGAGCAACAAAAAGTAGATATTCAAGTCTTGGGAAAAGGGAACCATACTGGGTGCAATCCACATTTAAACAGAGATTATGCAGCCATTTTGAAGAACAGTTAGTTTCTCATACAGTCAAACATATACTTATTCCATGACAAGAAATTCCACTCCTTAATATTTATCCAGGGAAACTGAAATCATGTCTTCAAAAATCTTGGGCACAAATGTTCTTAATAAAACCAGAAACAGCTGAAATACCTATCACCAGTTGATTGTATATTCATATTGTAGTACATTCAGCAATCGAATGCTTCTCAGCAATAAAAAGGAATGAATTACTGTAGGCAGCAACATGAATGAAATTTTAAAACTGTGTTGAGCAAAAGAAGCTATACACAAAAAAAGTAGCTTCTGTATGATTACATTTATCAAAACAGATCAGATGATAGACATCAATATGATGTTTGCCTCTGGGAGGGGCTTTTGATTGGAAAGGAGCCTGAGGGTGTTGTGGAACGAATTCAGCAAGAAATGCTCCAGACACTCGGACGGTAGGAGAGTCAGAAGGTTTATTACAGGTGGGTCCCATGATTCTCAGGAAGTAAGTCCTGGTGCGCCCTCCCCTGGGAAACGAATCCCTGGGGCCCCTGCATAATAAACCTTCTGACTCTCCGACGTTCTACACATCTGGAGCCTTTCTTGCCAAGTTCATTCCACAACAAGGGAATTTTCTGAGATAAGGAGAATGACCATATATTGGCTATATGGTGGCCATGGTTATGTGAGTATATCTGCATCAAAATTCAATGAACTGAACATCAAAAATCTGTGCATTTTATTGCTTATAAATTGTTTATCAATTTGAACAATGTAATGGAAAAGTTAAATAGCAGATGATTGACAGAGAAAATCAGTGAACTGAAAGATAAACTTTTATTATTTACATAGTATGCAGCAGAGAGACATAAAAAGATGGAAAAGTAAGAAAGAGAAATGAAGAGACTTGGACAACAGAGTGAGAAGTTTTAAAAATGTTTAGTTAGAGTTCCAGACAAAAAATAATATAGAAAATGAGGGAAAAGCAATATTTAAAGCAGTAATGGACTGAGAATTTTCCAGAAATTATGTAAGACAGCAATAATCAGGTGAAGGAACCCTAATAAATCCACACTGGGACAAAATGTATTTGTTTTAGCTCCTAGTTTTGCATAACAAATCACTTCAAAACTCAATGGCTTAAACCAACAACAGTTATTTAGGATCTCAGTTTCTG